GTGGGTTGTCTCGGTTAATCGAATTTTGTGATGGTGATAATTGTTCCTTTGCATGGAAGCAGGTGGAGATTTCAATGTCTTTAGGCATTTCCAAAAATGATTTCTCATTTATCTATCATTCAGCATATAATGTTTCCCTCTTCAGATTCTGTTTGTAAGAATTTGCGGCATTTCGAATCGTTTTTACAAATTAACATGATTTAAGCTCATCAACATTAGTAGTACTTTCCTGTGGGAAAGGTTCATCTCTTAACATATCAAGAAATAAGCCATTTGTTGTCTATAACTGTTGTTGACAATCTGAATGTAAAATTGTTGTTTGGTTTTAATTTCATCAACGAGCGGAGGATACCGTGAAGTTTTGTGCTTATTGATCAGTTCCTTGGGAATTTTTTGTTGGTACTTTAGCTCTATGATCATAATTGATTAGGTTTAGGATATAAACTTTACGTGCTTTATTTGTTTAAAGGGTTTAGTTGATGTAATCTTATTGACATCTAGAAAACAGCTGAACTTGTTATCTTGATTGTGTGTTTTTTGGGGTTGTGGCATTTAGTTTATGGTTACCCTTCACTGAATATACATATGCATCTTCTACTTAGTATGTTTCTGTTAGTTGTGAACCGAGGAATTACACTTCCTGACATCGTATTTGCATGGAGAATACTCCATGGAAGCTACATGGAAGATGTTTCTGTTAGTTGTGTAACGAATGCTGCTACATGGAAGCTATTCTGTGTGAGCAATGTTTGGAAAACACGCAACTAATTCACCTTTGAATTGTGCCACAACTTGACAATTGATATTTGAAATTAAATTTCCTCAGTTGATCATATTAAAAAAATCATTGACTCTTCAATTTTTAATATAAAAAAGCATATGGCTCAGAACAAAAGGCTGCATCTTACTGTTTTTTTACAGCATTGAGATTTAAGTCTTATATTGAAGACAGATCTGTGCGGTTTCTAAACATATAGAAAGCTCTTGTTCATTATTCTTGGTGAGAATTTTGTATATGAAAATTGGAATTTTCATTACTAATGTCAATGATTTACTTTTTGTGTTTGAACTCGTTCAAGCTTCTGCTGGATGTGTATTTCTGTCCCTTGGCGTATTTAGTATCTTTCATTCTCAAGTAAGACTGAAAACGAGGCAACTGTTTAGTTTTCATGTATAGGCTTCTTGTTGGGGTTACATAGTTGATTGTCATTGAGGATAAATTTATTTGGACTTCTCGGTTAGTGTGTTTTGATGTATGATCTTCGCCATCCAATTTTTCGTACGCACCACAGAAACAGAGGGGAGAAGAGAGAGGGTCCGAGATCTTGTATATTCTTTCATAGTTTTTAAGCGAATTGAGTCAAAGAAAGGAATAACGTAAGGTAGGATTATTTTCACGTCAGTGGCCATTTGATTACTGATTTACTATTTTTTTTGTTGGAAGCACACTACGCACGTGCTTGAGCTGCCTGGTTTTATCTTCCTCCAGTCTTTTAGATTTAGTAAAATCTAAGTCGTGAGACCTTATCACATTTACTTGAAAGTCAGTTAGCAAAACTGCTCGATAGTGCAATCTCATCTTTACCTTGCTGTCTCTCTGAATAGGAACAACAGGTTCAAGGATGTACAGTAAGGATTCGTGTGAGTGTTTATTTCTTTGTTTCTTCTCCTTTTTTTTTCGTTTTCTGTTTCTTTTCTTCTCCCCCATGAAATAATATCCTAGGAGTCTTCTCCTGTAATTGGCCTTTAATGTTTCTGGAAAGTTCATTACACATGTGGTTATTACAGATCCTCTCTCATTGTCAGATTCTAAGTCCAATACTTATGTTGTGCTTATTACAAATCTTCTCAATTGTCAGATTCTAAAATTTCTGCAAGCGTTCCCTTAGAATTCTCATCCTCTCGATAACTACATTCAGGCTTTCGATATTTGCTCGAGTCACAATGAATCATCAATACGGCGAAGATCAAGTAAGTCGGGACAGGCACCAACTATTTCGTACATCACTTTTTTTCCCAAAAAAAAAATAAAAAAGAAAAAGAAAACTGCAACTATACATATTTATTGATGCAAAACTTTCTCTCCCTACAGGATCGGGTAAGCGTGGCTGGTTTCGATGTCCCCGACTCGCCCGACTCGAGCTACACTAGCGCCTCGTACCCGGGGAACGAAGACGAGGGGCGGGACCCACCGGCCTTGCCGCCCCACCTTCAGCACACCCTCTTGAACCGCCCTGTGGATCCCGACTGGGGATCTGCGGCCCCACAAAACGTGACAGTGAATCACCTCTACATAGAAAACAGGGAGACACCTAGGTCGGTTGTGGGCCTTGGGGTCACCCACCGTTTCCGTTCGAAATACGTGACGGTCGTGCTCTACAAGCCCGTTCGAAATACGTGAAGCGGGACTTGAATTCGTTATTGTTGTTATTTGTTATTATTACTATTATTATTGACTTCTTTGTTATTTTTTTTTCTTGTAGTTGTGAATGAAACCATATAAGTTGGTAGGAATTAAGGCCAAATGGGGGTGGGGAGTTTTTATTTAGGGTGTGGAAGGATGAAATACATTTCTTGGGTTTTTGGTAAAGGGAAAAAGGGTATTCTTGCTTCATTGGCTGATTGTTTGAGATTAGAGATGTTGGTAGCTATTGATTTGCTTGAAAATAATCAATTTGCCAGCTGAATTTGGAGTTAGTGTTTGTGTGTGTGTGCGCGCTATATGTGATTTAGCTAAAGCTCGAAAAATTGTTAACTAAAACTGATCTTTGTTATTATGTATACTAGCAAAATTCATGCTCGTCTGGGCTCGTCCGAACTCGAAATTGAATTTCGTTTTTTACTACATGTCGCCAACGAAGCCTTCTATGTAATTATGCTTTCAAATCCAACCTATTCTTGAAAACTTATTATCTCAAAGCCTTCTATGTAATGATGTTTCAAAACAAATTATAGAACTTGTGATAAAATATAAAATTCTCACCCACAACTATATATGGTTAAATTGCTTGTGAATAAATTTATTTAGTTAATTAAATATGGAACCACTACATAACGGTTACTCATTCATTGCAAATAACTGATTATATTGTAGTTGCCCACTCAAATAAACTACCGTAGCCCTAATAAAAAAATTGAATGAAATCAACAACAACAATAACAACAACATACCCAGTATATTCCCAACAAGTTGGGGTCTGGGGGCTCAGTTGTACGCAGACCTTACCCTTGTAAAAATACAAGGAGGCTGTTTCCGTAGCGACCCAAGGTGCATTGTGCCGTTTGATATATTCTTTTTTCTAGAAACTTCACTAATAGAAGAAGCACTAGAATTTAATTGAGTCATTTTGATCTAGTCCATTATTAGCACTATGCCAAGAGAATTGTCAACAATGACTCTTCCAGCATCAATTGCAATGGACAAAAAAAAAAAATAAAAAAAAAAATTGAATGAAATAAACAATTATTTTATATCATCATTAAATTTATTAATAATCTGACTGAACAAAAAGAAAATTGATGGATCAATTTGTTTTGAATTAATTCAAACCTACAAAATAATCTATTTTGAAATTAATTAAAAATATGTTGAGAAAGAGCTGCAAAAATATCACAAAAAAAAATGATAAAATGATTAATAAGTGGATAATTTTATATTTAATTATAAAGTGAATTTACTCATACTATGTTGTGGAACAACCAAAAATTATACATCATTATATTTTCCATATGAATATTTGTTTAATCATGGTAGTCAACAAAAATACATACTAAACTCTTTTTTCTAAACAAAAAGAAAAATTTAAAACATACCTTCCAAATAAAATATTAATAAGCTTGTAAGACGTGGCAACACAGTTAAATTTCTAAAAATAGAAAATTTGTTGTAGGACTCACTAAAAACTTACTAAAAATAGAAAGTGAGTTGTCTAATTATATAGTAGATAGATTTGTGTAGTAATATTTGTGTATTTACTATATTAGCCTTAGGTTCTCTTTAGGTAACTGTAGCCCTAATTTTTGTGTATATATTCATGGTTAATAGAGAATTGTATCATCCGATTGAGATGATTTTTTACCAAAATTTGTGTTTATCAGAGCCTGATTTTTTCTGATAGCAAAAATTGTATGTCAAAATTTTTGCTAATTGTCTTCCTCCATAATTTCGGTTTCGGATTGTCTTCCCCGAGGCTTCTGTCAAATTTTTTTCCCGTACCTCAGATCGAAAAAAAAAAAAGAAGTTCTTGTCGCAATTGCATTTCTCAAAATTGAGTCTGATTGTGGCCACCTCTCTTCAATTCATACTTCTGTTGATTGAGTTTATTTTTTTTTTTTTTAAAAAAAAA